CCAGCAATATTTAGTATCTGATGATCCAGTTCATGCATTCAGGTTTTATCCCCCTTAAAGCAAGGAAATGACAGAATAGTGTGCTTTTAGTTTATAAAAATATGTGTGCTCCCAACAAGTGGGATTTTGCTGACATGTTTGGATAAAACAAACTTAAACCTGAAGAGCTTTTCACTTTCAGCGTTAAGGCACAAACTTTTCGTTTTTAACATTAAGACATTAATGTTGAAGCAAGTTATTCTCTCAGAGGAGTTTCACCCACTGTAAAATCAGTCATTTGATGCAATCTGACTACCTGCACATCATCTGTTTGTAATAACTCTAAAGAAAACCTTAGAAATAGCAATACTCCAACAGATCTTGAACTTTGGGTTTTATTTTTCCTGAGCTGGCCGTGGATATATGGTTCTTGCTTCATTTTGTGACCTGATCAAATATGTAGCTTCGAAGTCCAAGCCAGGCTCTAGCCTAGTTGTCCTTTTAATCAAATTTCATTGATAAAATTGGGTGCTTGTATTTTGGCTACTTGTTTAATAGTGTTAGGATTGCAAAGATCACCACTAGGCTTTGAAGCTTTGTATTCATCATTTAAGTTTGGGGTTTGTTTTTAACTTAGTTAATAACGGAGTGGGGGGATGTGCCTATCTACACTAGGGTTTCAGATAGCAGTGAGAGTGAGTGTTGCTCAACATCCCCAGTTAGATATAGTTTTAAATGATAAAACAGTTGTGCTGCTTAGGTGAGCAAAATGGTTAATGTGGGTGTGGAAGTTAAAAGCTTTACATCTTTCAAAAACAAGAACAAACCTAAAAACAAAACCCCACTAAGCCCACACCAGATTCTGTTCTTGCTTGTTGTTTCCTGTGTGCTGATTGAACTAACGGCTAGTCTGGATTTCTTCTGCAGCCTTGAACTTCTAGAGGATAAAAATACTGTCCGGTATCTTTGAACTGCCAGTGTTAATGTATCTGATGTTCTGTGCAGAGTAAAGGTGCTGTGTGAGGAAATCATTTTGCAGTGGTTTTTGTCTCGTAATGACATGATCTCATATCCGTTTGTGGCCAGACACAGAGGAGTACCCACGCCTGATGATGCATCTGTGTGTCGTAGAAACCTGTGCAGGAGTAGCGTCCGCCTCTCCTGGCATATGTTGTAGCTCCTCTCACAGTTTAAAACAAAGTGAGGATCTGCCCATCAAAATCAAAGTTACCCCTGAAAAAGCTGGTCGTGGTTTTGGTGGTAGAGCTGCAGTTGGCAGGTTGTTAACGGTACAGAGGCTGCTGCTTTAGCTGAGGGAGTTAACTTGATGCCTCCTAATTCTAGAGAATGGGACCTTAAAAATAGCACACCCCCATAACCAGGCAGCTGCTGCCTGCTGAGAAATGAAGTTTTTCGACTTCCTGAGAAGGGCAGTCCCCTGATAATGGGATGCTCATTTGCAGCATTGGGTCACCAGTGGAGGCACAGTAAGAACTGAGGATGCAAGAACACGCTGGGCTAAGCCACCTCATAGGCTTGGGAGCCTGGGTACCTCTCACTGGCTCCAGAAAGAGCTGTTCCCACTGGGACAGAACGTGGTGTCTGCTGGGAAAAGAGACAGTTGTCTCTCAGGCCTGTTGATTTTTGTCCATGACTCTTTGAGGCAGCATTTTGAAACATCTGTGCAGTTTGCAACAGGCCCTTCATAGGCAAAACAGAAAGACATCTCACCACGTAGCAAAGAAGGGAGGGTTCTGCTCTCCATTGCTGAAATTGTTTCCATGAGACAGATGAATTAGGTACCTGGTGCAGAGCGACATTGCAGTCTGAATGCTGTCAACAAAACTTCTGTTAGGATTAAAAGCAGAGGGTACAGTACCTTAATAAGGTGTATCTTATTTTCTCATCCTTATTTTTATCTGCCAGTCTATTTTAATCCCAGCTCCACGGAGACTGTTACAAACCTCTTGTACTAGTTCCACTGTTTTGCAGTCGCTATTGGTCTGTAGTCCAAGGAATGAGCAATGTGTTTTCTAACCTCTGTTTTGAATGTTTGCATATGATGCGATTGAATCCCACTGCATTATGCAGCAGGAGTTTATTTTGTCTGTAAACTTTTATACTTTGCTTGTTGATAACAGAATACCCCAAAGCAAAATTCTACACCGAAGCAAAAAGAAAGCCCCGCAAAATGTTCTGTACTGCTGGCTTTGGTGGGCAGCAGACACGGAAAAGGCATGTGGTATATGGGAGTGAGTAGTTTCTGGAGAAGGGCACTTCCTTGGCTCTGGAAACCAGCTGATCCTACTGTTTGTTGTAGGCTAGAGGAGATGTCTGCTCCCCGTGAATGCGTGAAGTGCTGAGGGATGCTAACGTTGTGCCACTGCGTGGCCTGCGGGAACTACTTGAGAAGATTTGCTACTGTCTTAAAAAAGACTCCTGCATCCCTGCAGTGAAGTTGGAGCTCGTGCAGAATACATGCACTATCTAGAATTTCCATATGGGACTGTTAACAGAAATTACCCAGAGCAGATTTTTTTCAAAAGATGGGTAAAAGGAAGGGTCCAACCACAAAACATTGCTAATCATTCTCAGAAGCTGAAGGTCAGGAAATGTGTGAATTTATTTCTAGTGGGATTTCTCCCTTTCCATGCTGCTTTGCCACAGAAAATCTAGCTCAGAAGTCTAAAAGGAGATGCATCTAATGCATGCTTCGGTCATTTTATGCTGCAGCCCTGCTGGGGAAGACAGGGGAAGTACAGATTCAATCCTAGCCTCAGGTAGTGAGGGGCTTGTGAACCACCGTAGCCCTGAAATCCATTGATGATCAGAGGTGGTGGCTTTGGGACAGTCCAGAGCATGCTCTCCTGATCTTTCAGAGAGCGGCAGGACATGTGCGCAGATGGAGTGGCAGCGTTCCCACCTATCTGAACACGTAGTATATGTGAAACCTAGAGGATCGGGGGACAGCATATGCGCATTAAAACTTCTGAAGCAAGGTGAATGAGCCCATCAATCAGTAGGGAACGTGAGAAACAGATGCGTTTCCCATTACACTAACACATATGCCTGTCAGGTCGTATTATCTGACTGGTTTTGATACATCTATCTTACTGAACCTGTTGGTGGCAAGTTTTAGTGTTTGTTCCATTAATTACTAATGTAGATGATTAGAGTCTCTGTATTACAAGGCAACTTTGACACTTTCTTTTCAACATCTGCAGAACTTGCTTCAGCTTTGGAAATTGAAATGGGGATTTTTCTGTGCTCTAGTCCTGTGAGCTTGTGCATCTTCATTCCTCATTGCTTTCTCTGCCAACCCAGATGGCAATGTACCTGGGGATTGAGTTTTTAGACCTTTTTTTGTATAACTTGTTTTCATAACTAGCCCTGTATGTTTCCTCTCTTGGTTGCCAATTACCTGGAGTTGGGATATCATTTATTTATTTCCTCCTTTACCCTCTCTCTCACGACGACGATGGGCAGGTTCTCAGCCTATCTACATGGTGGACTTTAGGTAACATCTCTGTAACAACCCAGTTTGATCGATAAATGTGCTTGGCTAAATGTCTGATCTGCAATACTTGTAACAGTTTAAAATTCAATAAATACATTTTTAACAGTTGCTCTGTGAGAGCGGAGTGTTTGCACAACCTGCTGTTCTGTCTTGGTCTTAGGACAAACCTGCTCCAGCCACAACTGTTGAAAACAGTTTTATTTTTATTTTCTCCAAACAATTTGTTTTCTCCCTCCCTCAGGCAATAAATAAAAAGTTAATTTCTTAAAAAAAAAAAAAAAAAAAGGAA